CATAAATTGTTAAGAGCTGTGATCTGTTTGGTTTAGAGATTATACATCTGTGTGACAAGTGCTGTATACCAAGACCAGGCCTCAAGACAGAATTTAGATGACAGTGAGGAGTACAAAGCCTTTGGAAGGCCTGTAGGTAACATGCTAAATAACAATCTTTTCCTAACATTGCAGGGAACATGCACAGAGGTGAATTCAGCCTGAGATGGTGTGAGTGTGCCAGGAAAGCTGCTCTGTTTATCTCTGCTGGGTGTAGGTTGTAGCACCTCCTGAGGAGCACAGTCCTCTGGAACTCTCTCCCAGCTGCCTTAAATCAGGCCACGGTCCCTGCATTGTTGTTGAGCATCATCTTTAAACATTTGCTAATGTCACAAATTTCTTACTACTCTAGAAACTTCTCTTATTATTCTTCAGTTTTACTCTCTGTAAGGATCTTGAGTTGGCATTTTAGTCAAGTACATCTGTCTATACCACTCTTCTGAAGGAGTGTGAAGAGGGTTTACTTCAAGTGATTGATTCTGCTTTTGAAATATTTAGTTCATCCACTGTCTGACAGTCAGTAACTGTAAAAAGTACCATTTTATATTTCAGTTACACAGTGCTTCATCAAAAACAACGGGACAGAAAAGAGGTGAATAGGACGTTATGTGACATTTCAGGCTGAGTCTTGCAACTTCTGTTACAATACAGATCTTACTATTTGATAATCCTCTCCTTAAGTATGTCATTGAACTGCTATGGTTAATTTAAATATTTATTTAATAAATAAATGATGTATAATAAATAGATATTTGAATAGAACATACTTATAGAACATACTGATTATATATTTATTTTTTATAAACATACTGTTTTCAAACAAAGTAGCAAAAAACCCATCCAACACCTCTTGAAGTAGATATAGGCTACTCAGAAATTGTAAGTGTAATTTATAGGCTGCCAGCAGTGGTTTAAGGACTTGACAAAGGAATGTAAGGGACAATCATTCGTATTCCTGCTCTGAAAAATTCCCAGTTGAAATTGAGTTCAGAATAATTGTCACATTTCTTTGCAGTCACTGGAAAGCTAGGGAACTCTGAACCAACATGAGACTGAACATTTGCTGCCCTCAGTAATGCTCCCTGTTGATTTGCACTGATGAAATGTAAAAGCTTAAATTGCTTCCTTTGATGCTTTTGCTGCTCTGCAGGAGGAAGACTCTAATGTCCAAAATTGTTAACTGTTGGAAATTACCCTACCATTTCAAAAGCAATAACATAATGCCTCAAACTGTGATAAAGTACAGCACTGAGCTGTGCTTTTAGTTTTGAATATTACACTTCCATGGCTAATATACATCTTCCATATGGTTGATACAAGGAAAAAAAAAAAAAGAAGTATTAAAAAGAATTCAGCATCAAAGCAGGGGATAATGCAAAGCTGATTTCTGTGTTACACTCGCTCTCTAGGTGACTTCTTGGACACAGAGACGGGTCTATCTGCCCTGCCAGCGGGTTTACCTTGCTCCTGCCTCTCCGTGTGCTGAGGCATGTTTTTTCTGGGCCAAGTCTGAATGCAAGTGTAATGCTTCTTTCAAGTACTATATTTATTGCAAGCTTCTGTTTATTCCCGGCATCCTTCCTTTGTGTTGGGTTCCTGTCACTGCCTGGCTCCATGAACTTCAGTTGCCTCATTTCCTTGGCTGCTTTTACACTGTGTGATGACATTCTCGTGTCCTGTCCCTACCTCCTTGTCCTGCTTCTCTTATAAAGAAGAGTGTCAAAGGGACACTTAGTAGCTGGGAACAAAAGATGACCTTCAGAGCTGTGTATTGTAGTGAGGGGTTATTTAAAGATGGGTAGGTAGGACTTTAGTTTTTGTACCAATAGCATTATTTTTCCTTACTGTACTTTTGCAACAGCCTCTAGACTGGAAACAATATGATCATTCATATTGGCTTTCTCCCTGAGGGCAGGCCACATATGCGAACAGATGTTTCATTTCCCCCAGAAATATATGACTGTATTTCACTGTGTAGCAGGTGGGGGTATCTAGCTGGAGGGGTTTTTGAGTCATGTTCATTAGTTTTAGGTTGAAGGCTGTGCTTTGCTGGTGTGCTCAGGACTCTGGGTGCCCTGAACAGCCCAGTGGGTCCCTGGTCGCCTCTATGTGTGGGCCTGGGTATAGAGATATGCAGGGGAAAAAAGTGGGCTTGATGAAATATATTATAAAACGCTGTTTTGTGTTGCAGTTGTATTATTCAAAGCAGGAGGGCTCAGAACTTCATGGGACCTTCATGGGCTTTCCAATCAAGTTTCAGGATTGCTCAGCCTCTTCACAGTCTGAGGTGTTTGAGCCACAAACATTTGACTTGCCCCCATAGAAGGCTTTCATAGAAGTCTGTTGAAGCTGGCCACGTGGTGCCTGTGTCGGCTCATCTTTTCCTTATGCATTTATACAGACGGTAGTGGAATGAGGCTCTTGAGCTTGTAAATGTCCAGGAATAGAGATAATAAAGAAATCCTACTCTAGCTGTAACCAGCACTTTCCTGATGCGCTACAGTGCCTTGTGTGAGAGCATAGGTGAAATTATTTCCAAGGAGATTTCTGAAGTGTTAGATATCCTAAAGTGTCTATGTATTCCTGCCAGAAATCCTATAGTGGTAGAACTTGGGATTTATGTAAGATTGGTGCATTTAACGTGATCTTTAACATCACCTGTGCAACAGGTAACTTAGTTTTAATTGCTTTCATGAACTGTACCTCAGAGCAGTTCTTGCACAGTTATGCTACATGCTGCTACAGTGTATGGAGAAAATAAAGGTTAAAGGCCACTGCTATGGTCCGTTACTAACATGGTTTAACCTGCTGGCAACTGGTACAGTGAAATTGAACCTGCTTTTCCCTCACTTAAATTTTGGTTTAGGTAACAGTGTATGGCAACCCTTTCTTCTGGGAACGTGGCAACATCTTCCACCATTGTGACCCACTTTGCTTCCTCTGTTTTATCTTCTAATGAGATGTGATGGCATCAACTTGTCAAGAAATAAACTGAACTTGCTCCTTAAAAGAGCTGCTGTTAAGGTCATACTTTTTGTATAAACTATCATGGCCAACAAGCTCTAGACTCTTGATTAAATATTTGTTATAAGTTAAGTATCTGAGAGCAAAGGAAACGGGTGGGTATGATAGCATATGGTGGTCCGGATTGTTTTACCCTTCTAAAGATACCTGGACTGGTTTGGTTGAGGGTGGGTGCAAAACATCCTGTGTTACTTTGTTATGAGCAGATCAGAAAATGCAATAAGTTTGTTTTCCTGTGAATGGAGGTGAATGGAGCACAAACCTGCAAGCCTTTGTTTGATACTTGGTTTTTCATAGCTTTCCTGCCTGGCGCTGGGGTTGTCACTCAACCTCTCATCTGTAAAACATGGATGCATTGCATTTTCTTACTGGTTCTCTGTCATTGTAAATCCTGTTTTATTTGCCTCACAGTGGTCTTCTAAGGATTACTGAATGAATGAATGTGAAGGATTTAGAGATGAGTGATAGGAATTGATAGAATAAGAATTGGAGTCTGTGATCCTCAAGGGGAGCATCTAGGGCACCTGTGTGCATCTAGACAGTTTCCTCAGAAGGAGTGGGTTTGTCTTCTTCCTGAAGTGTGTGCTTTTAATTTCATCTTCAGTTTTCTGCAGTTCATAAGGCACATTTTCAAATGAGGATTAAAGGAAAACCTATCCAGGGACTCAAGTACATTTACTAGCGTAACAGCTAATATCCTGAAAAGTGCTCTGTTTGGTGAAGGAGTACAGTCAGAGTGTATAATGGAGTTTCAGCTCTGTGAGTTTGTGTTCAACAGGTTTTTCTGATACATGGATTCCTTCTCTCCACAGTCTCAGTACGTTCTAGCTTATGAGTACCTAAGACAGAGATTAATGCTTGTCTGGAATTAAAGTATGCTCCTTAGAAGGATCTGAATTCTTAGCAGATGTATGTACACAACCACTTGAAGTTAACTCCGTCAAGAGCTTGACATACCTTGGTGAATGCATAGTCTAGATCGATATGATTGGGACTGATACTCTGCTACATATATCGATTCATTTTACTGGAGTCATGTGTAGAGTATAAACAAGAACCGAGAGACACTCATCTGTGTGAAATTACTTATTTCATTTCTGAGTAACACTATAAAGACTTGTCAGTGATTGATTGATTGATTTATTTATTTATTTTCAATGGACATCAAAAATAATTGAAGCCACATCCCTGTTAGATATATTTGCAAAATACTAAGTGTACCTAGAGCTGTGCAGACACAGTGGGCTTCTGTTAATGCGATCCATCTGGATGTACAGCAAATCGCTGATCAGAAGATTCCTTCTGTTGGCACAGTCTGTATGTCCATTTGGAAACTCTTCTGACATACCTGTCTTAGCGTAACATCCACCTGAAAAGCTTACAGTTTTTGAACATTTTTTAATATGTATGACTTCACTGTGCTAAAGGTAGAGACAGGAAACAGCACTACATTTCTAAATGAATAGAGTATGCATTTATGCTTCTGTGCTGCTTAATTTAAATAGCAAAAGGATAATTTTTTTTTCATTCTACACTTTAGAATGTGCAGTTCACCTATATTTTAAGTGAATGTATTATCTTCTCCAATTTTTGCCCTCCAGAAGCTTAAAGTAAAAACTTCCCAAATCTTTAACATTGGAAGGAACAGAAAAGAGTGGTGTAGACAGACCCATAGCAAGTCTACATGACTCAGCCATTTAAAGGATAGATAAAAAGGAATTTTAAAAACATATGTTTTCTAAATATTCATTTTTCCATTCAGACACACTCCTTAATAAAACTGAGGCTAATGTTTGAATGAACACTTTGAGTATTCTGTTGAAACCGAAATTATGCTTAAGTTTCTTTCTGCACCAATTCATTTATGTAATAGTATGGAGCTTTCTAACTCATCTTTTTTTTTTTTTCTTTCTTTCTTTTCCACTCCCTAGTTAATGGTCTAATGACGCTTGGATTTTCAGGTGAGATTTACTTTTAAAATTCAAACTTCTATTTTTGTTTTGTTAATGGCAGCCATCTGAGAAGCGCTTCCATCCTATTTCATTTCAATTAGTCAGGTATCATGCATTTTTTACAACTGGTTTTGTCCATCAGCTGTATGAATGAGTGTTGTTTTGTACCTATTTGGCCAGAGATTGAGACAGAAACTCTCACGTCATCAGATTGTTCCTGTCAAATGAGTCTATGAGAGCTTTTTCTATAAGCCTGCGAAATATTGAAGTTCTGAAGAGAGCCAACTGAAAACACCAAGGCTATGGAAAATCCATTTAAACACCCTGCTGGGAAGGGGCTGGAGTAAATATTCAGCGCACATGACGTAATGGAAGAGAAACTTGTATTCTGTTGATTTACAGGGTTGTAAATCAAGTGATAGCTGGCTGTTTAGAATATCCTGCCAGGGAAGGCAGCTTTTCGCTTGACTTTTGTCAAAGCATCAATGCAGGGTTTAAGTTGCCAACTATGCACTTTTCCTATCTGGTTTTTAATTCTACTCAGCTTTAGTGTTCATCTACAGATCTAGCTGTGGAAAATATAACTGCTGCAGCTGCCAGATGAATTGGTGGGAACATTTAAATAGGCAGGGTCCATGCTCTCATGTTAACTTTGCAAGGACAAAACTATACTGCCCCTCTCTTATAACTTCTGTAATTTCTGTCACTGGTGGTTAATTGTAACTATGATTTTTTTATTTTATTTGTAATTTTTTTTCTGACATGAATGAAGTTTTAGTGTCAGCTCTAAGAGGTCTGACAGTCAGACATGACGGAGGAGGTGAGGCAGCTCCCAGTGAGTCGGCCACACGCCTGGAGAGGTTTGAGGTCTGTGTAAAATAGTAGGCTTCGGGTCTCAGGTGTGACGTAGGCTGACCAGTTATGGGCCTGCTGCTCTTGGAAAGTGTGTGAAATCAAAGTATTTCTTTGGCCACATGTGATGGCTCTTGTTTGGCCCCTATGTCACTGAGTCAGTGACTTCTGCAGCTAAGGAGTTGTCTGTGATAGCTAAATAGATCTTGCTCAGGGAGCCATCTCCTTTGTGAGACACTTGATGTGTGATGTGAAGCCTGAAACCAGTCATCTTTTTGGACTAAATAGTAAGGACCGGTGCCTTGTTGAGAGTGAGGGCTGTGCCTGTCTTCTCATCAAGTAAAAGCTTGCGCGCTTTGACTCCGCTTCACCTGGCAGGGTGTTTGGCTGTCACCACACAAAATGAGAACCACTGGCTCTTCTCAGCAATGATGGGATCCTGCTGTCAAAGTAAATCATAGAAGAAAAAGAAATACCTCCTTGCCTTGGTGAGATTCAAAAGAAAAAGGTACAAGACCTGATTCTGCTTAGACCTCCTTTTTCTGTGATTGAAAAAGGACGAAGTGGTATGTTCTTCTTGTCTTTATTTTTACAAAAAACTATTTCACCAGAGTTCTCAGGAGGGTTGCCTGACACACTGGTTTGCTAGGGTGGCTGTGTTTTTCAGGTAAATCTTTTTCTCGCATTTTTCCTGCTGTGAAGAAGAGATCAGACTTTTTTTTTACATATGCTTACAGGTAATTTCTAATGTTCTGCAAAATATATGCATTTAGTCTATAGAAGAACAGTCAAAATAGTGACAATTAGAAAGGTAAAGCAAGACACGTTTAGCTACATAATCCAAACAAAATGTTTCAGCCTTACAAAAATCAAATGCTTTAGTTAGTCTGGATAGATTTTTTTTTTTTTCTTTTTCAGAATTTTATAAGAAATATCAACATGTAGTCTTTGTATTCCAATGCAGGCGTGGGCTGGATGAGAAAAGCCTTTGATTTGGACTCTAAATATTGTGGAGTTGCCATTTCAGGTTGCAAAAGATAACAGGCTTGCTCAAGTCATGGTTATCTTTCTTTACAAGTAGCTGTACCCTGTAACACCAGTATCCAATAATGGTAGATGATTGCTTTAATGGATATACTGAAGAAGTAGCTTGATTGTGACTGTGGGATTTCAAGCCCTTTAGGTGATAAGATGTACAGATCTTTCTGATCTTGAAGGATATTTACAGTCGTATTATTAGTTGAATGGGACTTGTCTGTGTAAACCTGAGAAGTGCTTTCTACACTGAAGTACATGATCAGTAACTCCAGTTAGCTTTTAACTAAAAATGCAAATGGACAGTACCAAGTTAGTATGAGTAGGAGCTCAGTAAGGTTAGAAAAGTGACTAGGTTGGTTCCTCTATGTTAGGTCTAAAAGGTGATACTAGATATGGTGTCTTATATGGTGTATATGGTAACTGATAGTATTTAATAATAACCTATATTTTTAATAAATTTATGTAAAGAAATATTTTATCTGTTCTCTAGTTGTTTAGAAAGTTGAATATTAGATTTACAACAATGTCAATGGAGAGCAGAAGCATGTGAAAGAGTTTGATGTTTTCAAACTTCTATTTCAGTGTTTGAGATTTAATGTGCTTTCTGATTTTACCTAGGTGCGTGTCAACAGATTAATGTCTGCAATGAATCTCTCATGTTAGAAAAGTTGCCTGCCTGTGGAAGAACCTTTGAAGAGATGATGAAGAAGGTGGACTCTAAAAAATGGTGCAACCTGACAGAATTTATCATGTAAGATTTTTGGTTTTGATAGTTGTCGCCTTGTAATAGTGTAGGTGCTTCAAAAAAAAGGATTGCCTCAAATATCAAGAACACTGTAGTGCTTGCATACCTAATACATCCCTAATACATGTGAAATTTTTGTCATCCAGATAAATTCAAATCCTTTGGTATTTGTTTGCCAGATGCAGTGGGCTAAGCTGTAACTCGTGCCTCCCTGCAATATGGCCACATGCGCTCAGAGATTGAACTCTTAACTAAAGAAGAGAGCTCTTGAGTAAAAACTAACCAGTGGGCTAAGAAAGAATAGCCGCTATTGCTTTTACTTCAGACAGTTCTAATTATATTTAATTTGTACTTCTGTGCATATTAGGCAAATGTTACTTAAATCAGTTATTTTTTTCTATGAAAACCCTAAAGCAGTGTGCTTTTAGAATCACGCTATTTTGTCTTCTCTATTGGTAGCAATCCAGTTCCCTCCTGATTTCTTTTTTTCAGCAAGATGACAGGAACATTTCTGCAGACACAGTTTCAGAAATCCAACTCTTGTGTAAGATTGTCTTGTCCAAATATATAGTGATTCATCCTATAGAAACTGCTATGGTTTGTTTCTTTGCCTGCCAGATAGCATGGAGATTGTTTGGATTACTAGAATACTGCACGACTGACAGGAGTAGTAGTGAGCGTGGCATTTTTCTTTATTGCTGTTTTGTAGTTGCTTGGAGGTATTTAAACATCTTTCTATAAAGCTGCACACTTCAAACTGCTCTAAAGCAAACTTACAGGGCTTGTGTAATTGGTGGCATTTTTGGCTTTGTGGAGCATCTGCCGCTTCAGAGCGTGTCTGCTCATGCATTATGCTTGGTTTTCGGAAGCGCTGAGTACCCTCTGCACCGACTGAAATCAGAGGAAACTGCAGGTGTTCGGCACTTGAGAAAATGAGACTCGTAAATTAGCTCTGGTGTGGTGTGAGCCAGCCTGAAGCAGAACATCTTCCTGGATCTGAAGCTGCACTGGAACTGTTTTGGGGCTGGCAGTGTGGCCACAAGCGAGCTGTCACCATGTCTGTTACAGCATCGTGTAGCCCCAGATATATTCTTGTCTCATGTGATCTTTGGTCTTGTCTCCTGTTTAGTATCATCACTTCATGTGATGCCAGGTTTTGCAGTCACCTTATGCAAGATTTCAGCTAGCTGGTCACCAACAGATATGATAGATAATGAAATGTTGGACTGTTCTGCTATGTTGTGGCAGTTCCCCCTATTTTTGACACCTGCGTTGAGATGTCTCACCTATTGGTAATGATTCATATTGACAACTTTGGTGCTATTCCTCCTTCTCACTTTTATTTGTGTGGCCCAGGTGACTTCACAACCTTTTAAAAGGTAGATTCTTGAAACTCATGGTGCTGAAGTGGAAAATGCATTTATGCAGCTCTCGCCAACAGTGGGGAATAGAAAGAGGAGGTAAGCCCTTCTCATCCAGCTGGCAGAAATTGCGTTCAAATCTGACAATGAAATGTGCTCATGCAAAGGAAAAGAAAATCCTTACAGTACAGGTAGTGCTAGATTTATTTAGGAAATACCTGCACATTATGAGGCAATAGTTTTAATTTTGCAAGTCATCCAGGTACAAGTTGTTTTGCTTAATTTGAAGGAAGCACTGTAATTTTACTCCAGTTTGTTGCAGTTGTATTATAATCACAAAACTGAGTTTTTTACCAGTATCTTGTTCATACTGGAAAGTCTTCTCAACTAGTGGGACTATTTGTACTAGAGAAAGGTACCTACAGGAGCTGAAATATTAGACTCTGCCTTTGTTAACGTGGGTGAAGAAGCAGGCAGCTTTTCGCAAGCCTTGTGCTAAAATTTCTTCAAGAGCTTAAATTTTTTCTGAGGTTTGGAGGTGACTGAAGTCTCTGAGTTCTCCTGATTTTCAGTTAGAGTTAAGATTCCACCTTACTTTTACCCTTTGCAATTGCACTTCCCCTTTGGTGTCACTTTGATTCCCTGTACAAGGAAATTCCTGCCCATGGAGATTGTTTTGTCTGAGGAAATGGGTCAGTCTGAGGCTTTGCTCATTTTTCCACATATGCAATACCAGAAGAATAATTCCAGCCTCTTCCAAAGAAAAATTTTTTGCATTTTGTACATAATACAAAACTTTTATCACTAATTTTTCAGGCTCTTTGGAGAGAGAAGAATTGGAATGTTTTGGAATTTTATCTCCTGAGTGAAGTATTAATCAACCATTATCCATTAATCAACCATTATCCATTGCAAAGTTTTCTTAAGGGTTCATTGCATGAAAGAAACAACGCATTTACATCTACCTTTAAGAATTTTACTCTTTGGAGAACAGACATTGTGATTTGATGTCATGCTTTATATAAGAAGTATGTAGGGTAATTTCTTCCAGTTCATTGGAGGAATCCTTATGTATGAGATTGAAACACTTCTTTATTTGGAGTATTCTGACAAAGTAATGAAAACAGAGTATTTCTAGCCATAGTCATGTAAAATTCAGATATTTAAACCTCGTAGTTTACCCTGATTTTACATCTAGCCTCCAGCAGTAAAAATTAGTCAGCATGGATCAAATAGTGGGTGAAAACTGTGAGGTTTGTAAGAAGAAAACTGTTCTTTCATACACTAGTTTCTGCACAGGGCTTTTCTCTTACAGAAATCTTGCAAAATTTGGCTATTTATCTTACATAAAAATATAATTTATGGAGATTGCTTCATTTCTAAACTCTGTTTTATTGAGGATTATTAGCTCTTCATGGTAAATGTTGGTCCTTGGTTATGGGATTGTAAATAGCAATTATCTTAAATTTCTTCACTGTTTGGCCAAACAGTCGTGAGAGAGATTTTATTGACTTCAGTTTGCTGTAATTTAATTATACTGTAAGATTTTCTGACAGCTCTGTTACTCATTTCTTAACTTTATTTTTAACAAACTTGTGTTCTTTCAAAAGCAGCCTTTTGACTGATTTTAAACAGATGAGTTTCTCATTTGGCAGCTTGTACCGGAAACCAATGTAAGAGTTTTAGTCTCAATGGCCAATCTTGATCTTGCTGGAAATATCTAACAATCATGTATAAGCTGTAAAGGTGAAGTTTTACAGAAGCAAGATCAGGAGAAAGTTTCCCTGTTAGTTTTTACATTTTCTGTGGGGATTCATATGGAAGTTAGAATAAAAATAGTCTGGGTGAGATTGTCCAAGGGTATTTGAAAGCTTAAAGAAGATAGGACTTGAAAATATCTTAAGTCTTTTAGGCACCGTGGGTTTCAGTTGTTTGTAGTGGACACTGGAAGTACAACTAGGAATACTGTACAAGAAAGGTAAAACCTTCAAGAAATATCTGGAGACATTCGTTGAGGGGATCAGCTGCTTACAGTTTTGTTGGTGCTTTTAGAGGGAACCCTGAAGATGAAAATGCGACTAAGTAGTTTAAATGACAGGAAATTATGACACGTGTCAAGTGAACAAGCAGAGACTGAAGTGTGGGTGAAAGCTATGTGAGGAGTTAACAAAAGCAAATAGACCTTTGTTTGCCAGAAAACTGGAAATTACAGAAAGCTTTTTATTCTTAATGTGTAATATTTATGTTATTTTAATAGGGTTTTTGTGTACACACTAATATATTTTATGTGTTTGGGTATTTTTATATAAAATATAGATAATAACATATAGTATAATACATAATATACTGTATTTCTCTATTCTTAGTGTTTAGCAGTAGCAGCAGCAAAATATGTAAGATCTATTACTGCTGACCTAAGCTGGACAGATTTTTTTTCACTGTCCTCTGTGTAGTAAATCCTTGTCTGGTTACAGTGGGACTGTAGTTGAGAGGCCAGGTATTACTAATTCCTTAAGGCAGAGCCAGACGAAGATGGGAGTACCCAGAGCAGTCTTACGTGAACCTGGAAAAATGTTGCTTGTTGCAATTGTGTAGATTATTTTCTATTCTTAGATAATGAAAGGGTTTTCTAAATACTTCTAACTAGATCCTGGAAACAATTTAGCTAGAACAAACAGTCTCTAAACAAACGTCCGTGTCTCTCCCAGCCCTAACCCCTGTGGAAATTTGGGACCAAAGTGGGCTCATGCTGGTTCTCAGTGGCTTGTTAAGCTTTTGGCCTGCTCCCAGGCACTGGTATCTTCCTTCTCTTCTGCATCCCCACTTTCCAAATGTTTCTGAGTGTACTTACTAGCCTTTCAGTAATTTTGAGGCCAGAGAGATGGCTATAGCCCTCTGGTCTGCACTGCTGAATCATAACAGGCCACACAATCTGCCTGGTAATCACTGTTTTAAACCCTGCAAGAGTGAGTGAGTATCTTATGGGAAGACACTGACTCTTCATTTAAAAGATATTGAATGAGTATTAATCCAATGTGTCTACAGACAAATTGTTCCAAAGGGTTGACTGTTAACAGTCAGAGGAATGTGTGTCTTATTTCTAATCAGTTTACCTGACTCCAGGTCTCAGTGATTCTTATATATTTTTCCTGTTACAGTAAAATGCCCAATTAAATACAAGCAAATAATTTCTAAGTCACCTCTCTGATCGTAATTTGCAAACAAAACCAAAAGTAAACTTATAAAGCCTGTCATCATAATGCAGATATTTCAGACTTTTTTGTCCCCCAAACTTTGCAGGTTTTGGCAGCTTTTCTTTTGGAGAGTGGATTCTGATCTGGGATTGAGCATTTCACCTAGCAATAGTTTGCATAATATTATGCACAGACTCCTTATTTTTTTCTCTAATCCTATTGGGTAATCAGCATTTTTTTTCTGCCAGAATAGTTGTGTATTACATTAACACTCCTAGATACCTAATAATTCCAGGAGGATGTATTCTAAAAGATGTACATGATTTTAAGTCCCTTTTGGATTGACTTATGTGATATACATTACATGTTTCAAGATCTATAATCTAGCATTCACTAGAGTTGAATTTCATATTATTTAGATAAGATCACATTTGTAAGTGATCTGAATTAG